TGGGGGGGGGGCTTTAAATAGGAAAGGCAAAGTAAAAACACATTGTGTTCACACTGTGTGTGAAGCGCTGAAGACATCAAGTCTCCCAATAACCCTCTGAGGTTGTGATTCATCCCATTTTACAGAGAAATGAACTAAAAACGCAGAGCAGTGAAGTCCTAAAGTGAAGAAGCAGCTAGAGGGTTCTTGACATCTGCCTCTCACTTGCCCAGGGCCAATCCAGATACATTTTTAGAACATCTCCACAAATAATGATGGAATTACCAAGAACATCTGCACACACAGAGAAACCCTTCTACTAGCCTGGCATGTTCCGGTCCAAGCTTTGGGTAAAACATTTTACCTTCCCCGGTCCTCACTGTACTCTTGGACACATGAGAGTCTACAGCATTACCATCCTGAGACATATAGCTTCAAGAGCAGAAACAGTGTATAGGGAAAGTGTCCAAGAAACCTGGACAATATAAAGAAAGAGATTCACAGATGTGAATATATGAAGATCAAAAACTCCCATTCAAGACATTATAAGCAAAGGTAGATGACAACGGACATAAGAAAGTCTTCCGTATATATGACAGACAAAAGACGGATACAGAGTAGAAGAAGAATTCCTTGAATTTAGTGAGGAAAATATAAGCAAGCCTACAGGAAAAGGAAGACAGCATATTGACAAGCCCTTAGCAGAAAACAGAAATTTAAGTAGCTGATTGGATAAAAAAAGAAAATGTAATCGGAGAAAGGCAAAGGAAAAAAACAAAGAGCAATCACTGTTGGTCCATTAGGTTGGCAAAAACACTACATGGCCGGCAATATCCTGTGTTGGTAAAGGCACTGGGACAGCACTGGCAGGAGTGCAAATTGGAGACAGCCCTCTGGCAGGACACGTTGGCCACAGTTAACATTTTAAATGCATACATCCTTCCATCAGAAATTCCATGTTTCTGTGTCTTTTCTGTATCTCTCCAAGAGAAATTCGCATTCCTCCATGTGAGTCACTATCCCAGCAAATGACCCTTGCGTCCCAGCTGTAGCTGCCAAGCACTGGAGTCTACCTCGATGTCTAGCAACAGGACAGTGGTTGGACAGATTTCTTTGATAGATGAAAACTCTGGAACTACTGTTAGTATATAGTATACAGGGGCAGCTGTACATGTTTTAGTGTACTCCAAAATATCTTGCAAATGGGAAAAAACCTGAGCAATCTCTACAGCATCATTGTGTGTGTGTGTGTGTGTGTGTGTGTGTGTAATATTTTGTCTGTGATTTTATTAGGAAGGTTAAGAGGATGGACAAAATGTGTAACAGTGATTATCTCTGGAATGAGGGGAAGTTCACATCTTTCACCTACATTCTAAGTATCTTGTTTGTATCTGAACAGTGTAACTGTATTCTTGTCTTTTTCAGTCATTTAAAGAATGTCAATCTGGCACCAGAGCCAGAGTCCCTTGCCTGGTGCTCTGTGTGACCTACTGTTCACCCTGGATTGAGAGACACACTGACCGAGGGCTGGGATCAGCTTAGGAAGCTGCCTTTCCCTTGGTGTTTCTCTCTTTCTTCGCACTCACATACCTCAACACGCAAACACACAGAATTGTTCCTGTCTTGTGCACAGCCTCACTCACAATAACCACGGCATATGCTGGTTCATAGCCAGAGACCTTCTGAATTGTGAACCAGTGTGATTCTGGCCATCTTGATAAAACGTGCACAATCACACTCTAACACAACCATGACAACAATAACAAATTGTCAGGCCCCATGGGCACAAGCCTTGATCTAAACCGTGGGGTCCAGTGGGCACATACGGAATGTGAAACCCCTTAAATAATCGCTCTGCTGGCCTGCAACAATCAGATGTTCCTTTAGCCTTAGCTTTCCCAAGGCATAAACTATGTATTCAGGGGAAAGCAAAGTCAAATGACTCATGACAGAGTTTGTTTTTAGTATGAATTATTTTTTCTGGCTCCTTGCTTTTAAAGACATATCATTTTCAGATGAGCTGAAGCAAGGACTGCTGGGAGCTAGGCTCACAGACCCAGCCCTTCTGCCCCTTCTCAAAGCTGTAAGCAGATGCTGTGGCAGAGCGTTTGGTTCCCATTATCATCACTCCCTTCAAGGACTCCTCTTTTTCCTTTCAAAACTGCACAATGGCAGCCTTGCAATAGCTGGTGGTATAGTAGAAAGAACATTGCATTTGGAGTCTAAGAGGCCACAGCTTTACTTGCAACTTTTCCATTTACTACTTATGTGATGCTGGGAATATCACATGGCTTCTCCAGGCTGCAGGTTCCTTGCACATGGAATGGGAGGGATGAGTACTGTGCTGGATTATGGCAGGGATTCAAGGAGGTAATCTCAGCAAAGTGTCTGCCCCACAGACCACACTCTCGGAGCCTCTATCCCGACTGCTTGTGGGAGACCTGGGCAGCAGGTATCCCAAGAAGGCAGGCAGTGGTGAAAGGCTACAGGGAGAAACACAGCAACTGTAACTTTCTTTGTATTTATCATGTGCCAGCTGCTGTTCTAATTGCTTTCCCTGGACTATCTCCTTCATCCTTAGACGTAACCCTCCAAGGTACAGACAAATGGGATCCACATTTCACGGCTGATGACATGAGGCACAGAGAGGGTAAGAAACCTGACCAAATCCACCCAGCTGGTGGTGAGTGGAGGATCTGGGGTCTGAATGTTTATGGCATGGCTGTAAAACCAGAGTGGGGAGAGGAAAAGTGGGCAGATCCAGAGGCTCCTTGAGTGGAATCCAGGACAAAATTCCATCACAAGTAGGCAGCTTTTCAGATCACTCTAGCGAAACACACAAGGGTAAGGAGGAGGGCACCGGGAGAGTGTTCAGCCAAGCCTTGCAGGAACATAGGTGGTGGACAGTCAGAGCCCTTTCTAGGGTATGACAGAAGAGAACAATGTCTTAATTTCTTAATGTCCTCCACAGCCATACCACCCTGAACATGTCTGATCTCATCCTAATAGTGTAGTATCTTTGGTCTAGGCCCAGAGAAGCCCATGTCTCTGAGTGAGGACCCCAGGACAGGGCTGCCATCTGTGGGGGTGGGGGAGCTGCCTGCCTGGCTTGTCCCAAGCAGGCAGAAATAGTTGGAACACAGAACTCCAGAGCTGCTGGGGACCTCAGCCACTGCCTTGCACAGCTGCACCGTCCAGGCTGAGGACTGCTGCTTGCCCACTGCCATGCCACAAGTTGGCAGTAGAGCAGAGACCAGAACCCAGGCCCTTATTTTCCAAGTCAGGCACTGCCTCTGGCATCCAGATCACACCATCAGCTTCTTTCTCTTCCAGCACAACTTTGATTTCATGACTTATTTTTCCACTCATTTGTTTACCCCATATTTGTCAGCCAAGCAATGTGCAGAAAAAATAAAACTATGGGCCACTGGGCTTTGGGTAGGTCCAGTTCTCCCAATAAAGTCACCCTTTGAATTAAGGAATGTTTAGGCTGCACTCCCAATAAATCACTGACTATTCTAATTGGCAAGCAAACTTTTGATAATGATAATGAATCTCCATGCAAGTCTGCTTACTAGGAAATGAAGGGTAGAATCTGGAACCGTGATTTTTCAGAGTGAATTAACAAAATGCCTCTTGCTTTATGCCTCCATCTCAGAGCTACCCTTGTAATGTGTGTGTATGTGTGTGTGTGTGGGGGGGGCATTCACTCATTCATGTTTTCAACCAATACACAATTGAGTAAACCTGAGTTCATCAATCTTTTGTTCTCAAGGTTTAAAATTCTGCAGCCCGCTCTCCAGTCTCAGTTCCAAAACACAGACACAGACACACACACACACACACACACACACACACCTCTGCTTACTCTTCCAAGTCCTAGCTCAACGGTCATTTTCTTTGCAACACTTTCTGATTCCCTGGGAGCTTGGGACTTAACATACGCCAAACTTGTGGCTGTTTTTGCTTCTCCTCAAACACATTCCTTTCATTCCCACTGCAGGGCCTTTGCACCTGCTGATCTCACTGCCATTGGGCCTTCTGTCAAACACCCCTTCCTCAGGAGGGTCTCTCCTCGGTGTGCGTGGCCAGTCCTTCACATATTGTTTGTCCCATCCATCTTTGTCCCCTTACATTGCTTTCTTTCATTTATAACACTTCTCACTGACTGAAATCAACATTATTTGTTGTGACTGCATGTTTGTTGAAATATTTCCAACAGGGGGATAAGCATTGTGAGGGCAGTTATTGCTATTTAAACAGATGTAGCTTGGAACACTTGCTGAGAAAAGGAACAGGTATCAAAAAGTCAAGTAGACAGACAAGCTTCCAAGGGAGAGCTGGCTAACAGGGCTAGGAACAATGACACTGATTCATGAACAGTTCAGGGAAGAACTCATCATGTCCACTCTTTCACAGCATACAACCTATAAGAAGTTCCTGCACCACCTTGCTACAGTTGCTGTCTTGGAAAACACAAGCCTTCTGTGATCACGTGTAAAATGAGGATGACAGTTCCTGTCCCGGGGTGTTGCAGTTGTTAAATGAGTTAATGCATGGAAAGTGATTAGAAGAGTGTTTGGCTTGTATAAAGCATCATCATCATGGTCATAATCATCACTCACAGACGGGTGACACCTGTCGGGAAGAATGGTATGCCTGGCTCTTTGCTTTACTTAATTGTTCTTTTCAAACTGAAGCTTGGAAATTCTGTAATGTACCAAGTTAAACACATGCCCCCCCCCCAATTTTGAATTTAGCATAGCATGATAACCATTTTATAATAATTGCTTATCAGTGTTTATATAATCAAAAGAATTTTTAATGTGTTTAGAATGAGCATTTATGATTGTTTTCATCAAAGATTTTAAAGTTTTAAGACATGGACACATGGAGAACCATGGAAGAACTCTGAAAAACTGTAGGCTGAAAGTCTGAAATGCAACTATATCGGGACACAAATGGATGGAAACTTTAAATAAAGAGAAGAACAGCTGGAGATGGGAGAAGCAAGAAATTACCAGGAGACAGAGCTGAAGGGTCACATGCAGTCATCATTTCTCTGCTGCAGTTTCTTGGGGAAGCGCCTGTTACCACAGTCAGGACAGGAAGCAAATTGCTGCAAATGAGTTGCACAAGGTAGACAAATGCAATATTAATGATTTTTAAAATCTGCTGGAGCAGTATACGATATTCCAAGTTCAGCTAATATGCTTTTATATTTTAAAAAAAGTCTTCTTGAGGCAGGCATTGTGGCACAGTGGATTAATCCGCAGCTTGGGAGGCCCACATCCCAAATAAGAGTGCTTGGGTTGAGTCCCAGCTATTCCCATGTCTGGCCCAGTTTCTTGATAATGTACTAGCGAGGCAGTGGGTCATGGACCAAGTACTTGATTCCCTGCCACCCATGTGGGAGACTCTCAGATGTAGTTTCAGGCTCCTAGCTTTGACCTAGCCCAGGTCTGGCTGTTGCAGTCATTTGGGGAGTGAACTAAGGGATGGAAGATTTTTCTCTCTCTGCCTTTCAAATAAATAAATCAATCTTTAAAATAAACCATAGTATTCTTATTCACCTCCATTTTTTGTTTGTCTCCAGATCAGTAATCTGGTGTGGGGCTGGCATTGTGATGGAGCAGGTTAAGCCACCCCCTGTGATGCTGGCATCCCATATCGGTGCCTGTTCAACTGATCCAGCTCTCTTCTAATGTACCTGGGAAAGCAGAGGAGGATGGACCAAGTCTTTGAGCCTCTGCAGCCATGTGGGAGACCCGGATGAGGAGCCTGGCTCCTGGTTTTTCTCTGCCCTGGTTATTGTGGCTATTTGGGGAGTGAACCAATGGATGGAAGACCTCTCTCTGTTCTCACTCTCTGTAGCTCTGACTTGCAAACTTTCAAATAAATAAATGTTTAAAAAAAGAAAAAAAGGGAAATCCAGTGGATAGAAGTAGCAACCAATCCCATGCAGGCTCCTTCTGCCTTCTCTTTCCTCGAGCCCCAAGGTGTCTCAAACACTCTGTCCTCAGCAAAGGGGACTGGTTTTATAAAGAGAACATTTTAGCAGCTCATGCAATGTTCCTTATTGCCCCTAGGTGTCACTATTACAAAACAAACGGAAGCCTGAACCATCACAAGAGAAAAAAAGGTAAGAAAAAACAACAGAACATTTAGTACAGAACACTACAGCAATAACAGTTCAGAAGGCAGACACCATTTATAACAGAAGCTATAGCAATTTAGTATTTCTAAGACAATTATTAATTTCCTTTTTAATTCAAGGGCTTACCCCAAGAAGAGAAGACATCTCATTTCTCATACAGGAAAAAAAAATCTGTGTGGCTCTTTATTTCTAAAACATTTACATTTATGGACTCAGCTGAAACTCACATAATGCTAAATGTTTATGGTATAATTGTTTTATAATCAAGATTGGCTTGATAGTACAAAAGAACTAGCTTTCAGGGTAAAAATATGACAGTGAGGTTTGGTTAGGGAGGAAAAATGTAGCTGTGTGTGTTAGCTTGATATCCTACCCAATGGTATAATTTTATTTAATATATTTAAGCATGGTTTTCATTTAGATTTGGCAGCTTGATTAATGGGGATGTATTAAATAATACCTGGCTGCTAAGAGTATATTTAGGAATCAGTGCCACATAAAACATAGGGCATGCACAATTCGGTTTCATTATTATTTAAGGCTTCTCTGTTCTCTCGGCTGTGGGCACGCACATATTAAAAATTAAGTACCCACGCTCCATGTAGGCTCAGCCCTTTTAAAAGGCTTTCTCTTGTAACAGAAACATGCAATGGAAAATGAACTCAACTCTGGAAAAAGGTAATGGATTCATCCCTTTGGGGACAACTGTTCTGTTATCAAAATAAAGAAAGGGAGGGTCAGAAGGAGGGAAATAAAATTCTCAAGTGGTCAACAAAGATAGATGCCCAACATGAGAGAGCATCAGTTTCTATGACCAGGTTCCCTTCCTTGCTACAGCTGAGAGGTCAATGAGTGGAACCTTCCACCACCAGGACAAGAGGGAATTGGGGAAGACTGGGAGACTCTTAAGGTTTTAGGGAATGGATTAGTGTCCAAAGAAATGCAAGCAAATTCTGACTGATTCTCAATGAATTAAAGAAACATTTGGAGAGGGGGCATCTAGAGTTTTCTGTGTGTGTAATGATAGGAGTGGGAATTGGAGGGTGGGGATGGTTTCAGTTAACCTAGGAGATGATGACGATGATGATGACAGTGAAGGCGATGGGAAGAGCCAAGAGCCATAATAGAGTTCTACTTCATATTTTGATGAAAAAATATTATATCTGATATGCAAGCCTCTCAATAAACTAGCATGCTCTTCTTGCCACTGTTAGGCAGTTGCCTAACTCTCCTCAGACTGTAGCAAGATATCTAAGTGAGGTCTAGGTATCAAGTAACACCACATTATGTTTCCAAACAAACATCCCAGCAGAGCAGGTAATAGAATTATTCTTTAAAAAAAAAGAAGCAAAACTGTGTTTAAATTCCGAAAGTTCCGAAAACATCTCAGCACTCGGAAGGAAAGCCGGAACCTTCTCTGGTATAGGTATTGTTCCGTGCACTTGCAGATGACAGAACTGAGGCTCAGAGAGGCCACTGACATTGTCCCACATCATGCATTTAGCAACTTAGAGAGCTGGGACTGCAGTCCAAGACTGCCTGCATGGAAACTCCTCTTTTTTAACCTCCAACTCCCATTGCTTCTCTGTGGCTGACTGAAGACCTGCTTAGGGGCTATAAAGGAAATTGGGAGTGGGCTAGTGGGCACAGCACATGATTCTAGTTACCCCATGTCACCTACTTGCAAAAGGCTGGAAGAGGAGGATCTGGCTTTGCAGAAACTGCTTCCATTACTGCTGTCAATATGCTCCCCACTGGAAAGAAGTCTCAAATGTTCAGTACACCAAAGCCTCCACAGTGCTGAGGGTTATAATCAACAGACCACAGAGAACAGGCTCTGTGACATTAAGTATACAACTGGGAAGGGAGGGAATTCTGATCCATGGGGCAACACGGGTGACCTTATGCTGAGTGAGATGATCCAGTCACAAGCCGACAAGGACTGTTTGATTCCATTTCGGGAAGTACCTGGAGTAGTTAAATTCATTGAGAGTAGAAGGGTGGCTTCTGGGGGCTGGGGAGGAGGCAAGGGAGGGTTGTCAGAGAGGATGGAGTTTCAGTTATGTCAGATGAAAAGTGTTCTAGAGACAGGTGGTGGCGCTGGCTGCAAATTGGTGTAAATAAACTTAATACCACTGGATTGCACACTTCAACATGGCTAAGACAGCATATTTTGCATTGTGTCTTTGACCACAATTAAAACAAGCAAATGAAAAAGAAAACAACCAGAAATGCCTCCTCCAACAGTCATCTACACTCTTCTCTTGTATGGCAAAGTACAGAGTGCGATCTTTCAAAATATTCAGAAATGCGGCCGGCATTGCGGTACAGCAGATTAAGCTGCCGCTTGCAATCTCTCATCAGAGTGCTGGTTTGAGTCCTGGTTACTCTGTTTCTGACCTAGTCCCCTCTTAATGTACCTGGGAAGGCAGAGTAAGATGGCCCAAGTGCTTCGGTCCTTGCCACCCACATGGAGACCCTGGCTCCTGGCTGTAGCCTGGCCCAAAGCTGGCTGTTGCAGCCATGTGGGGAGTGAATCAGCAGTCGGAGGATCCCTCTCTCACTCTGCATCCCCCTGCCTTTCAAATATATAAATACCCAAATCTTTGAGAAGTGAAATCGTTCAGGGGTCCTTTTTTCTACTTTTCTGGAAAGCAGGAAGTCTTGGGGGGAAAACAGATTTTTCTTTGAATTTTTGTTTTAAAAAAACACATAGCATTTTACATCTACATATTTGTTTGAATTCTCATCCTAGTTTGAGAATTCAAACAGCTCTCTGGCCATGAACAGAGCACTCCCCTCTCTGGATCTCAACTTCCTCACCTGTAAAAGGAAGGCGTGGTGAGGTGACCTCTGAGGGCCCTGCTGGTTCTAAGAGTCTCATTCCCACTTTTCCCAATGTGCATACTGCCTAGTTTCTCAGGTACACGTTGCTAATCACTGACTCTCACCAGGACGATTTTGAGAGCCACTTTTCCTAAAGAGGAGCAGCAGAAGGCTGCGGAGTGAGGTCAGCAGACAGGAGGCTAAGGGAACTATGGGAGGAAAAGGAGAGGTGGAGTCTGATAATGTGAGGTTTAGCAGTGGGTGGGCTTGCCCAGGGAGGGAGGGAGCAGGTACTGGAGATTCCTAGGCATGAGGCATTTCCACACAGATAAAACTAGTATTTCACCGGCTGTAGGAATCCATGTACCATCTTCACAGCTTCCACATCCAGGTACCCTCTGCATAATGCTTAGTCATGAAATAGTTTTCTAAATTCTGAATACAAATCTTTTTCATTTTTCTATTAGATGTTGTCTTATTATAAGCAAGAATGTCCATGAAAACCTAGGTTAGATATTCTATTTTTTCTGACATACATTAAAATAAATATTTAACTACCACATACCAGCTAAAATTATCTTGAGTGCCATTCATGATGTGTGCATTTTGGGCAATGCCAGATTATCTTACTTTATCCCATTAATGACAGCTGGAGCCCACGGAGTTTAGTAATCCACCCACTTTTGAACTAAACAGCATGGGCTGGTTCATATTCTTCTCATCTTTAGCATGGATGTGATCTATAAAGTTACATTCATGGAACTGTCAAGTTTTAGATTTCATGGATGGTAACACTTCCAAAAGGACTTTGGAGACTGATTCAGGTTAGAAAGGTTTTATTTTGCCATGTAAGAATGCAAAAAAGTATTCTCACCATTTTAAAACCATAGGACTTCTTACACTGAACAACTGGAAAGGAGATTTCTCTGGATAACATACATAAACAGTCACTTAAGGAAGAATTCATGACATTCTGCCTACTTTTCCAGATTTTTTAGCCTATTGAAAACTCTGACATGGGTCAGTCACCATCCTGGCTCAGCATGGGGGACCACAGCGTAACGAGAGATGGCTTTGGACCTGGGCAGATCTAAACTGAAGTCCTGGTTTTCCATTAACTGTATGTGCAACCATGG